TTTCCACGCCATCGTTCTTCCACACGCCGACGCAGCTGTACGTGGTGCCAAGATCCTACTGGCTTTTGGGAGGATTCTATGGTGTGTCAAACTCAGCGTGGGTTTTAGGGCTTGGGCCTAACGCTAAAAGCCATACAGATTCCAAAAAGTTCAAAGACCCTCGACTCTGAAACCCCTTTGGGATCGAAAAAACCCTATATCCTACAGCCCAAAAACCGAAAACCTATCACTGAAAAACCCTAAGCCCCAAACCCTAAATCCCCTTTAAACCTGAACCGCCGACCAAGCGAAACACCAGGCAGGCCGGGCGTCGATACCAATTGCGGTCTTCTTGGCCATGGCGTTAAATCTTTTTCGGCAGACAGCCGGATAAGCGACTTTGTTGCTGCAAAACTGATGGCTGCGAAGAAAGTAAGGCGTAACCCTCAGCCGCAAACCTTAAAACCTTAAACTCTGAACCAAACAACGAGAAAGATTGCAATTTCTTCCCAAAGCCGCGTCTATGAACCCTGCTGGCATTGAGGGCTTTTTTGAGGACCCAAGCCTCCTTCTGGCACGTCACCCCGAATCCACCGACAAAGAACAGCGCACCCAAGCCCCAACCCCACACCTGGCGGAGCGAATCCCGAAGACCTACGTACAGTGTATTACAGAAGTCCCAAATCTGCAGGTAGGTTTTTCATAGGCTCAACAACACAGACAAGCTAGCTATTGTAGCTTACTTACACCCGCACAAGACCGCGAAAGTTCCAAAACTCGCACTGAGCGGGTTGCAGGTTCGATTGCTCGCTGTGCGATCGCGGCAGCGGATCGTCGTCAAAGCAAAGCCTGTCCAGCGATTCCTACCGGGTGCTGCTAAGGGAGCCCTATCCCCCGTCACCGAGGAACAGTCCTGAACTCACATCATGGAGTTTCATATTCTGCTTTGAAAATCTGTGATAAAACGTTGTTTAAAGGATCTCCTTGTACGAAAATGTATTCCTGACGTGGTGCCCTCCTTTGGAAATGCTGGCTAAAACAACCACCGTGTCAGAAGTGATCCAAGGACCGTTCGCTGCTTCCATTCTTCCAAGAAAGAGCTGGGCTTGACTCGAGGCTTGGGTTTCGGTCCAGGCTTTGGCTTGGGCGCGACGCTAAGGCGTCGATCTTCATGCTGCTTTTTTTTTTGGGGGGGGGGAGGACACAAAAGAGCTTTAAGGAAAGCTGTAGGGTGGTGCTTCGGCTGCATGAGAGTTTCGAGGCCTGGGGTTCCTTCTAACGGCTAGGACTCTGGTCTTCGTGGCAGGTCCGTCCTTGACAAGGGCTTTGTGAGGCATCAAATACGGCTGAGAAAAAAATCTGCTGAGCGTGGGAGGCTTTAGTGACGAAAAGCAAACGGTCCTACATGGGACATGAATTGCTTGGGAATCGCAGGGCTGTTCTAACCCTGAAACGGGGTTGCGGCAGATCAGGATCATGGTTGCGTTGCGTTCAACAGGATCAGAACCCCTTAACCTCGGGAAATATTGAACTGCGTCCCCACAGTCCCTTCTAGAGAAAAAGTACCAGTAGGTCGGTAAACCCGACGTTGCCACTGCTGGATCCACGAGACCCAAAACGCCGAAAGCCAAATACACTCGCTTGCCCAGCTTGCTGGAGGAAGAGAAGTAATCGTCAAGATGAACGCCTGGAAAGTTGCAACATCCCCATGAATCCCGAATGCTAAGCCTCTGCACCCTGGAACCCTGAACCATACACCCCAAATCCTAGACTCTGAACCCTCCACCCAACACGTTCAACCCGAACCCAGGCCCAAGACGCGCGCCTGGGGCCGACGGGTGTTCCGTGCACGGTGTTCGACAGCGCAGGAATCGAATCCACATCCTTTGGCTAGTTTAGGGCTCAGGGCTTCGGACTTACCAGGGCTAGTGTCTTCGGGATCTATGGTCGAGAGGTTGGTTCTAGCGTTGCAGAGTGCAGAGGCTGGGGTAAACTGGTCAATGCCCGAGACTCTAGAACTTGAGTGGGGAGGGTGCCGGTTCAGGCCCTTTAGGGGTATAAATATTTTTGGGCTTTTGGGAGTTTTTTTTCCGGCGCCAAATCTTGGGCAAAAGGCTGTCTGGAAATGGGTACTCAACAGGATCTGCGCTTGGTCTATGTGAGACTTCGGGCCGGTCGGCTCCATGAGCCTTTGGGTGTAGAGTAAAGCCCTCCAAAAAAAAGGTTGGAGACCGGAATAAGGACAGTTCGCGCTGGGATTCCCTGCACATTGCTCTTGAGGATGGAGCCTACTGGGTTGCCAAAAGTTGTGGGCTTCTGCTGTCGGGGCCTTCAGGGCTTCTGAAATCTCGCGATTTCCCCGGGCTGAAGGGTTCGGACCTTCTCGGGTAAAAAAACCTGCTTTTCAAGGCAACAATCTGGCGCTAGCTCGGATATACCCGTTTTGAGGCTGCCCATCAGTTCCTAGAAGGGCTCCGATAAAGGATTCCATCTATAAGGGTTGCTTTCAGGTTCCTCAGATAGAAGGACGAATACCGATTCTGTGAAACGACAAGCCCGAGCCAGCCTCAAGGCCTCGCTACTCAGGACCCGCAACTCAACAGCCAGCTGCTACTAGGATGCCGCTGCTGCTGCTGCTGCTGCTGCTGCTACCATTATTCCCCGACTAGAGCAGGGACGGGCCTCGCGGCCGCCCAACCCTCTGCCCGAAAAAATCCCAAAACTTCTGGAAACAGCTCGGAAGCGAGAATGAACCTACAAGTCTGAGGGCTGAGATCCTAAGCTCTCTTTGAGGTTTCTCTTCAGACCGGGCGGCATTCCCGATTATGTCGACCTGGATGTTCTTGCTGGGGCCTCAGTCACGCTCTCTGGAGCTGCTGCCCTACATTTCAACTCTTGCAAACGGAGAGGAGTGTTGCTTACGTCTTGGGGTCGAGATGTCCCGGGCTGTCAAACCCAAATGCCTGGCCGAAGTCTCGCGCATTACACCCTCTCTAAATCCTGAACCCTCTCTACAAGCCCTAAGCATGTAGACCCGATGATTCAGCCTTCGAGATCCTATCCGACGCCATCCTAGCCGTGCCTCGATGAACTCCTGAACCTTAAAACCCCTGCACGGCACTCTAAGCCGGATGAGCCGGCACATACGGGTTACGGTGAAGGGTCCAATGGGGACCTCAGACTTCGGCACCTAGAATGGGGTTCTGGGGGGCATGTGGCGCCATGGACTTTACATGGTACAGCGACGATACAGAACTACCCTGAACCCTAAAACTGAACTCTATGCCCTCAGATCCCTAACTTCTTGTAGGGTCGGACCGGACATGTCTTTTGTGGCTTCAGGCATGGGCATACGTTTTTGTCCAGCAGGAAGCTCAGTGCAACATGGCTTCCAGGCAGAAGCCTGTCAGCCTCCAAGACAAGGCCCAATGGCCTGAAGCCTAACTGCCCGAAAGCTAAAAAACACACAAAGCTTGGCTCAAAAGCGGATCATATGGGACAATATCGACATCCCCGTGGCCTACCCAAAAACTGGGGTACTCGCGTGAGGGTTTACATCGGCACGTTCAAGGTTTACATGACAACCAAGAACAGGTCTTCCGCCCTCCCCTCGGGCACCCGACGCATTGAGCTCTCGAGTGCTCCTCGAGCCATCTGCATCCAAGGCATGCCAAGCCTTTTCACAGCTCGGGCTTTGAATTCAGGGATTCAGGGTGTTTCGGGAGGTTTGGGCTTGGTGTTTAGGTCTGAGCTCAGGGGCTTGGGATTCACAGCTGGACGACAGCTCGGGCTATGGACTGCTTGGCGACCCTCCGCTGGCATTTGTATTGACACTCTGTTGCTATTTGATGCCATTTGCACTGGTAGCGCGGGTTTCATTTCAGCAGCTTCATACAGATACACAATGGGTGTCTGATTCACGGTTCAGGGGTCTTGGGTCTGGGGCTTGAACAACGAGGGCTTTGCCTAGCAGACTTCTCCCAAGAATCCCGAACACTGCAACTTTCAACCGAGTTCCCGGCAGTGTCTTGGCGGGTGGTCGCGCGCTTGGCCTCAGATCGCGCTTCTCTCTTTTGGGCCTTGGATCCAAGCATAAGTATCACAAGAATAATCTTTTTGACAGCCGTTTAGGTTTTCATCGCAATAAATATGAAGGATCATTTCTCTGAGGGCTGATATCAATGTGAGAAGGAGAGAATACTTAAATACTTCCACCCTTGAGCCCATTTTTTTACGTCCGTTTGTGTTCAGCTCCTTGGCTGGAGACGGGCCTTGGATTGGGTTGTGTTGGGTTCTGGATTCGAGTTCGTTCGGGTTGTGGGTTGTGGCTTCTAGATTCTAGATGTCGGGTTTAGGCTTTCGGGTTTACGAGTCTTCGGGTGTCGAACTTACGAAGCTTGTTCGGGGTTTAAGGGCGAGGAAACTTGTAAACGCCGATTGCATTTCCAAGACAACAGCGCTTGGATGCACACTCGGCGGTTTCTCGAGGAGGACAAGAACCTCCGCAACCCTCAAATGCCTGAATCCTGCCAGAACCGAGAGAAACACCCGAAAAAGCCTCGAAGCCTAGGCCCTAGAATCCGCGCCTTTTGGGAAAGTGCCGGCGCCATTTGGCCACAGTCCGTCTCGTCTCGGGCCGTGATGGCCCTGGAAACACATAATTAATTCGGATCGGACTCCAGAAGCTCAGACGGATCTCTCCCCGCTCAGAACACTAGATCCCCCCCTCTTGGAGGGGCATCTCTGAGCTCCTCCAAGGGGGGGGCGGCTATCGGGGAGAGAGGACTCGCTGATGTCCGTGATCCCCATCTTGACATCGCCAGGGGACTCTTTCGTCCTATGTCTGAAAACACGCTAAATTCCTGGCCCGAAAGCTACCGATGTCCGACTCTACAGCTTCTCAAGCTTGTCCTCATTGACATCCTTGGCTGTCCAGCTCGTAGGACCAAAATTCTAACACATAAGCCCAGAAGTCAACCACCACCAGGGTTTAGGTTTTCCGGCCAAGGCTTGGAAGCCCTTCAGAATTTGGAAACACTGTTGCAAAAAAACGAAGCACAGGAAAAGCTGTCCACCGACCGAGAAGCGTGAGGAACGTAGTCATAGCACTTCTCTTCTTGGCAAAACCCCGAGATGCACTCGTAGTCTACTCCGCAACTGTCGCCCGCCTGCAAGATCGGGGGTCAGCTTCCGTTTCGGGATTTAGTATTTAGGCTGAAGGAACCCTGCGAGAGTGACGAAACTCTAGAACCGGAAGACCCTAACCCTAAAGCCCTGAACCTTCAAAGCGCAGGACTCTAGGGCACTGTACGGCTCTAGGGCTGCAGTGTTTCCCAAAAGCCAAACCCCAAAAAAAGGCCTCCTTCTTTGGTCGGCAGCCGTTGTTCTTGGAGCCATCGGGGGTCGCCTCGCGGTCGCACCACTTCGCAGAAGCGTCAAAGAACTCATAGCCTCCCGCTGTTGCACGTCTCAAGACTAAGGGTTCTCACCTGAGGTGTCCTGCTATTGAGAGTCCAATCTGGGGGGGTTTAAGGCTGAGGGCTGGCGTTATCTGCGAGCCAGAACCTTAAGACCTGATAATACCTAAACTAGACTCTAAACCCCGAAATCCCGTAGTCCGAAGTGCCCGTGTACATCCTGCAGCCCTCCGCAGGTCTAAACAATAAATCATGCTGTGCCTTTCTACGACCGACAGATCCATCTGCAAAATATTAAATCCGAAACCCTTGCCGTAGGCATTGCAATAAGGTCACACTCTTGTACTGCAGGAGATTATCAGTCAACATCACTGCTAATTATGCAGACCCTTGTACTAACAGCCTTCAACCTAGACTCTAAACCCCAAACCCCAAATCCTAAGACAGGAACGGGAAAACCCCTAAACTGAAAGCCAGCACAAGCAGCTCATGCAATCTTCGCAGGTATCGGCGAACTTCGTATCCAGTGTCTCGTACCAGCACCAATCCTTCGTTCTCTGGGGCGTTTCGGAGTTAAGGTGTAGGGCAGTCTAGGGCTTAAGATTTGGAATGTAGGGACCGTTCGAACTTGAGGGCAACAGCCCTCAGTTCTCCGTTCCGGAGTTCCTAAAACTTTGGGATTTGGGTGTGCCAATGTTGTAGATGCACTGTTGATAGCTTCCAGCTGAAGACGGGTTGACCTCAAAACGGAAAAGGGTTCCTTAATGCAAAGCAGGCAGCGTCAGTAGGTGAGCACCTTGACTCGCATGTCTTGAGCTCCGGTGAACAGGACTGCGAGACGCACTCGTAGTCTTGGCCGCATGCTTCGCCCACTTTCTTCCTGTCTTGACAGCCGTTGCTTCCTGAGCCATCTGCTTCCGTTGCAGTGTCGCACCACTTTGTTCTTGGATTAAAACTGTTGTAGATCATGCATCCGTCGCAGATGCCCTTGTACTTCGAGTCCAATGGAGCATTCCATTCCCACTCCGCCTTTTTATCATTGGAGGCGACAGTACCACGCTGGAGCAGGGTCACCTTGTCGTCTTGTGCTTGGCACCCACTGCCCATGCACTGTGCGTAGCTCACCCCGGACAGGAGGAATAGAGTGCACACCAACATTATGCGGACCACGAGGGTATATGGCTCTTCAAAAGACCTAGAGGTGGCTCTGAAAAAGAATCAAATAAATCTGTTGCGCAGGAAGCCAAACAGCAACCAGGACGTGCTATGGGAACTTGTGCAAATTCGGGCTTATTCTCAGCTGAGGCAGACAACATCCTACCAGGAAAGATTAGTGCTACGACTATTGAACTGTTGGCGCGTGCGATGATGATGGTGATGACGCAGATGATGATGACGATGATGATGCTGATGATGATGAGAGCACCAGATCTCTGCTGAATGATACCGGGAGCTCCTGTTGATGAACACCTAAAACTTCACAGCACGACATGCCTGAATCCCCGAAACCCGACACCCCAAACCCCGAGTCCTGAACCCCTAAAGGCCCTCAGGCGCACCCAACACCAAAAACACACACATAGAGACACACTGAGGGGCCGGACGCGAGCTCCAGACAAAGAGCGATGAAGCTTTTCGCCTCGCGGCTCACGTTGCGCCAGACCTTCGAAAGGCTTCAGCCCAAAAAACCCTAAACCCGACTTCTTCTTGAGATGTGTTCGTCTAAGGTTCACACTGGCCTTAAAGGCTTCGCAGCGGCTTAGGATGTTCAGCTCAAGGTTCGAACTCCGAACCCCAGATTTGACTATTTGTGGTCTAGGACAGTCTGGGACTTGACTCACAGTTTAAGGGGCTTGGGAGGGCTCGCAAGCTGGGCTTCAACTGTTTTGGGCATGCCCCAGGCCCAAACCCAAACCCAAAACCTCGTCTCTAAGCCCCCGAAGCTAGATAGACTTCCGAATGCACTTTATGAGGTTCTTAGAACATAATGGAATTCCGAGGCTTGATATGATGAATGTCATGACGTTACACATACTTTCTGGTTGAGCAGGCTGCTTATCAGGGCGGCATTTCGGGATGTCGAAAACTTATGCAGCATATCTCTTATATCACAACAAAACCCCTTCTCGGCAGGGTCTAGATTGAGATCCCTTGCTCTCTGAAACTCCCACACTTTGAGCTCGCTCAGAGCCCGAAAATCCATAGAAGGCTCAAAACGGGTAGTTTCGGGTCCAGGCGGAAAATCCCTAAGCCCAGAACATGAAACTGCGGTCATTGCCGTGCCTCTGAAACAAAATCTTGTGGAGAAAAACCCCGATCTACTCCCTGTGAAGTAAAGCCCCAAAAACCCCCTAAACCCGAAACCCTGAACCCTAATACCCTAAACCCGAAACCCGAAGGAAGCCACGTCAGTGCCTCCGTTGGCATGAAAACATAACCTGAGAAGACCGGAAAAGGGCTCAAGGGCTTACAAGGCCTTCATAGCTGTTCAAAAAGAAGGGGGTACCTCATTTTGGGGTCCCTTATAATAAGGATCCTACTATTTAGGGTACTATATTAGGGTCCCCTATTTTCAAAAGGCTTAAGGTTTGGCTGTTTATTAAGGGTGCTTTAGAAGCTACTCTAAGAGGCCGGCGTTCGCTTTGTAGGATTCGGATGTAGTGGCATTGACAAAGGTTTAGAGGGCTCCTAGTGATTGAAAATCAAAGCCACACAGCCTTATATATGGTTTGGAGGTTTCGGGTTGGGGCTCGGGGATTTGGCTCTTTGTGTTTCGACCCTGGGCTTGTGGATATAGGGTTTTGGGGCTTCGGGGCCTTGGGGGATTTAGGATTTAGGGCTTCGGGGTAGTAAATTTTGAGCGTTTCGAACTTGGGGTTTCCTAAACCCTAAACCCTAAACCCTAATCTAAAACCCTAAACCGGTTTCCATCGGCTCAGGGGTTTCCAGGGGTTGGCGAAGGGTTCCGAAGCCATTCAGGCACTCTCAGGCGGCTCTCCGCGCCCTTTTTTTGCTTCTACATTGGGACTTTCCGGTTATAAGGATCCTACTATTTGGCGTACCTTATTTTGGGGTCCCTTATCATAAGGATCCTGCTATTTAGGGTACTATCTTAGGCTCCCCCTATTTTGGGAAACCCCCCACAGCTTCGAAGGGCGAGTCCTCCTGGGCCCCGCACGTGCATTTCTGAAGGCAAGGTTGTTGGAAGGGTCGGTAACTCCTTTGCGATATCATTGGTTTTTGGGCTGTTGGGTTTAGCGTTTAGAGGGTTTAGGGTTTTAGGGGGGGGCTTTGCTACACCCTCATTGCACCCCGAGATCTTGAGACGAGCACTTCTAGGACTCTGGCAGTTTTGCCCTTGCCGTAACTGCAGCCGCAGTTACGACAAGGCCGACTGTGGGCTTACTAGGGCCGGCGCTAGGGAAATAGCCTGACCTCTAGCCGCTAGCCGCACATAGCGTGCTTCAAGTTCCAAGTGTCGCGATGACTCATCAGCCCGACACTTGCATGAAACTGTGATGCTGCGGTAACCCGGGCCTTTGGAGGGCTCGAAGGGGGATGTCCCTGAGAGCAAAAAGTACGCGATCACACCTCGTCGTGCGGCAGGGATTGTGTGCTCAGGGTTCGCTGTTCACGGTGTGAGGGTTGGGCGAAAAGGCCTGGCTTGGGCTAAGGGGGCTAAGGGGCGTCGCGTACAAGTTTCGGTTTAGGATTCAACGGCTTCAGTTGAATGTGCGGGGGGGGGACTAAAGCCTGAACTGTTGCGGGATGGAGTTGACGTTCTATGGCTCAGCTTCACGGCGAGGTTTTGCTTTCTCAGACTTTTGTGTACTAATATCAATTGACGGCTTCGGGTTCAGGATATAGGTTCCAGGGTTTTGAATTCTGCGCATTGGCATGTTTTGGCGGCTTGGGGAAAAGGTGTTGTTAGTTGTCGACTCGAGGTCTGGCGTAAGGCTTTAGTTTACTAAAAGTTACTACCAGCACGACCAGAAGGAACAAAAAAGCACCCACAAATCTTCCTAAGGAGCCCTACACACCCCAAAACCACAAAACTCTGAAGCAAGCCCTGCTTGCCATGGGTAGTTCGCTAGATTAAGCGACATTGTATCTTTCAGGGCCCTTGTTACGAGCGTGCGCTGCTCTTTCAGGGATCTGATGAAGAAGACCAACTTAGAGAACCACTCATTTCAGTCTTGGGTTTGGGTGTAACAGAGACCCAAACACCAACATAGTTCTGAAAGGGTAACGAGGTAGGCGTAGAGGCTTAAATGCTTCACGTTCATGTGCTTCTCTGAGCGATAGGTTTACCTGCATGACTTTAGGCTTCTGGCGCTCGTGGTTCCGGCTTTCAGAAAAGGGCTCAAGGTGTAGGATTTGAGCTAAGAGGGGGTTTGGGCTTCAGGCTTCCAGGGTTTCGGGTGGAGCGGCGTTTGGATCCTAGAAGCCTGAAACCCAAATCCAACCCCCGAATGACCTAAAAGCCCCATCCCCGCCCCGTGAAGGAGCTCGTCTCCTAAGCCCGAATCCCATAATCCCAAAAACCGAATCAAAACAAGCAAACCTCCAACCGCCGAGCCCAAACCCTAGAACCCTAACCTTAAACCCCCAAACCCCTGAAGCCTAAACCCTGCGTCGAAACCTTTTGGGCCGCCCGGCCCAACGCCCAAACGTCACAGCTCCGCTGGGCGACATAGCCGGGCTCCAGCTGTTCGGGAGCCTCTCTGGGTATTTTCGAGGGCTGGACTACCGTTTAGGGTTTAGGGTTTAGGGGGGGGCACCTTCAGGGACACGCAAGCTTACGAGTAGGCCACAAGGATCCCATATGTATACAAGGACGGCTGAGGCTTTCGGGAAAAGAAGGCTTCGAGGTTTGCAGGGCTTTCGGTCTTTCGGGGCTTCCGGTTTGGGGCTTTTGGGACTTCGGGTCTTTCAGACGTTTTTTGGGTTTGGGGTTCAGGGGAGAGGTAGAGAGCTGGAGAGCTTAAGGTGCCGACAGCCAAGGACAGAAACTGTTGGCACCACTAGCCTTCAATCACGACTCCTAAAACCAAGAAACCAAGAGCTGGAAAGCCCGAATAATTCTGCTTAGGGAGTTTAGGGCTTCCGGCCTAGGGCTAAGACTCTTGGGCGTCTTGAGGGTTTTGGCCTACTTTTCGCGTCCCATGCTGGGGTTCACGGCTAAGCGTATCAATCACGCCACGAGCCACCACCATGAATCCTTACTAACAGGCTTCAGCCCTTTCATGCCCCAAATAAGAGGAGCCCCCTAAACCCTAAACCCCTAAACCCGTAAACCCTAAACCCGGCCACCCCAAGAGGCCTGGCAGAAGAGGGGGCAAGGCCGCTGCTCCTCCTGTGGATGTCTGCAACTGGGGTGCTGCTTTCAAGTCGGAATCCATGCCAGGTGCCTGTTTAGGGTTTAGGGTGCCTGTTTAGGGTTCGAGCAAACGATTCCTTAGCGTGGCTACCTCGATGTGAAAGCAAAACCTTGGAACGTGCCCGAATATGAAGCATCTGCGCTACTGGTTGATGATAGATCGTTGCATGTACATGGTTTTTGCTAGAAAGCAAACGATGAGGAGCCCGATATCGCGCTGCCCTTTCGCGTGCCCGACATCTCATTGAAACCGTGCAAGGTGCATGGTGTGAACACTCCCAAGCCACGACTTGTCGGAGATTTCGTGCCTGCGCCTGAACAGTTTAGGTCTTACCGTAGACCCTTGTGGGATCAGGACACTGAGAAACAAGATGGAAACCAGTAGAAGGAGTCCTTCATAGAGGTCCCTGTAGATCAGTACTTCGGAAGGTCGATGTACCCCCGTATTCAGAAAACTTGAAACATTCCATTGTCGAACCTTCCACGGCTACAATTCCCAATTATTACAGTCCCCCAAGTCCCGATTCAACAAAACCGAGACTCTGCCCCAAACAGGTCCTGGCTCTGAGTTGAACGTGTCGACCGGTCGCCCATGGAGAGCACGCTCTTTCTGCCTCGCAAGGCTTCTATGGAGAACTCTGTAAGGGAATACACGGGCTTTGGCTGCTGGTTCAGGGTTGGGGGTTGGGAGGACGCCCCGGCCTTACGGCGTAAGGGTCTACTCAAG